CCAGGAGCCTGCCGCACCTCCGTTCCCTGGTCCTCAAAGGTGAGCCCCGCCTGGTCCCAGCCCTCTTCCACCCCCACCTCCAGCTCCTGCCCCTGCTTCTCCGTCCTCAAAGGCCAGCCCCACTCCCAGCCGCCATCACTAGTCTCCATACAGCGTGCCCAGCCCTCTTCTCCCCACGTGACACAGGCTGCGCCCCAGCTCCGGGCCCCGCAGCTGCCCGGTGGTGGTCCTGGCAGATTGCAGTGCGCACGCTTGCCCGGGGCAGGCCCTGGGTGATGGCTCCCGGCTGAGATGAGCCTTCAGGCCCAGCCCCTGCCTCCCTCCACCTGCTGGTGTCTCTCCAGTGTCTCCATCTGTCTGTCCTTGTCCGGCTCGGGTAGACCTGGAGGCCCTTGCTCCCTGGCTAAGCTGGGACTGGGACTGAGGGCCACCCCGCCCTTCACCTTCCCAGGTGGGCAGCACTGGGATGCACAGGGCGCCTGCCTGCGGGGCTCTCTGGCCACGCTGCCCGCCAGCCTGCGGGGCCTGACCTGCTTGGCGCACCTGGACCTGAGCTTCAACAGCCTGGAGACGCTGCCCGCCTGCATCCCGCACATGCGCCACCTGGGCGCCCTCCTACTCTCTCACAACCGCCTCGCAGAGCTGCCTGAGGCTCTGGGGGCGCTCTCGGCCCTCACCTTCCTGTCCGCGACCCACAACCACCTGCAAGCGCTGCCCGCGGCGCTGGGAGCCCTGTCCGCCCTCCAGCGCCTGGACCTCTCCGAGAACCGCCTGGACACTCTGCCCCCTGAGGTCGGAGGTCTGAGCAGCCTCCAGGAGCTCAACCTGGCCTCCAACCGGCTGCAGAGCCTCCCGGCCTCCCTGGGTGAGTGCCGCCATGCCTCCTGGGCTCGCAGGACAGCAGGGCGTGCCCCCAGCCACTGCCAGGCCTCCACGCATCAGCCCCTGTCATCCTCCGGGCCGGGGCCCTGCACTCACAGGCCTGGCCTGCCTTTGGGCTGCGCCCCCTTCCCAGGCCCCGAGGCTCCTTGCTCAGGCGCCAGGGCTCTATGGGTGCAGCTCTGGGGCAGGGGCTGAGTCTCTCCCAGGGCAGGGGGAGGGGGGCGGCGCTCCAGGGCGGGGTGGCTGGAGCCATCCTCCTGGGGCCTAAGCAGCGCCTGCCCACAGCGGGGCTGCGGTCCTTGCAGCTCCTGGTCCTGCACAGCAACCTCCTGGTCTCGGTGCCCGCCGGCCTGGCCCGCCTCCCGCTGCTCGTCCGGCTGGACCTGAGGGACAACCAGCTCCGGGAAGTGCCCCCCGAGCTGCTAGACGCCCCCTTTGTGCGCCTGCAGGGGAACCCCTTGGGCGAGGCCCTGCCAGGCTCCCCCAGTCCCCCAGGTAGGCTCGCTGCTGGGGAGGGCGGACTACAGACAAGACACAGGCACCCACCGTCCCCATCCTAATGGCGCCCGTCCTTCCACAGGGACACCTGTGGTCCCGGGAATGCCCAGGCTGTTCCTGACTTCAGAGCTGGACAGGTGTGTGGAAGGGGGAGGGGCCAGAGGAGCCGCTGGACACCTTACCCGTGCTCCGGGGTCTCCCTAGAGGCCCCCAGGGCCAGGCTCAGACCTGAAGCCCCTCCGGGTCTGACCTGATGCCTGCCCTGTCCTCACTCAGCTTCCTCGTGACCCCCCAAGGCTGCTCTGTGACCCTGGCCTGTGGTGTCCGCCTGCAGTTCCCCGCCGGGGCCACTGCGACCTCGGTCACCATCCTCT